GGCTTTCCTTTCACGTTGGTTACGATTCTTTCACGGGCAAGCGGCCGAGCAAGAGGGGTTGGTTAGCACGTGCTCCCTTTTCATCGAATTCCACCACACGGAAACCGATTCGATACATCGTCGTCGTCGTCGTACGTGGCGTTGAATAGGACGATAAAGATGCTGGAACCCAATCAACGAGCGACGTGTACGGTCAGGGACATTGTGCGTCGCGGTGGCCATTCCAAAAGAGGAATAAAACGAAGGATAGAGAAAGGGATAACGCTTCGATTATTAGCATCAAATCACGTATAAATCGTATGGATATTCGATCACTCGTACACATTTACAAAATATTCAGAAATAAACATTGCAAAACAAGCAGGTATAAAATGGAAAGCGATGGCAAAAATAATTGGAGCCAAGAATAATTGGAACGTAGTCGTTAAATAATAACCAACCAACGTTACCGCTTGAAATCCGCTAGAACGCCAATTAACACTTTCCAATTGGCCATTCGAACGAGCATTATGGAGCGAATCAACGAATACGAGTCCAACGATCTGAATAATTCGCTTCGGTTTGTTTGCACTTACAGACCGGTGATTTCCTAATTTTAAACGAGTGTTCGCCTATCTGTCTTTATCTCTTTTTCCATTGGTTGTTTTAGAATTCTTTCATTCTCGAGGATTCTCATGGAGAGACTGAAATTTTCAGGCGTCCAAAAAAGAGAATCATTTGTCTCGGTTGTATGGCTTCGGTAAACTTATACACGGTGTCGTATCGCTGAAAGCATAGCTTCTCTTGTGTAATTTAATTCGCAAGGAGTTGAAAGAGAAATTTGTGAAAAAGAAAATTGATATTGCAGAAAGAAAAAAAATTGTGAAAAAATTGAAAATACTAACATTATCTTGCACAATTAGAAAATTTGAAAGCTGTTAGAATATTATGAATAAAATTACTAACATGAGTGCAATTTATTTCCCATAAGAAACAAAAGGATCCGAAATGTAAAGGAGAATCTTGGCGACTTTTATTGTCGCGAAACTTTTCGACGACACCTATTGGAGACGAGCTCCTCAAGTTGTAAAATTACAGTTTTTGTTGGTACCACGTTTCCCGCTGGAACTTACGGAAACAACTACGGTCATGTTAGGTCACAGTGATGAATTATTGTACATTAAGAGAATGGTGCTTTGTTCACGAATGCAACGACACGAAACCAAAACCTTCGTAAATTCCAAACCAGAATTGTACAAACGAAAGCACGGCACGGATTTAACCCTCGCGATACAAAATCTTGAAACAACAATCAATTGCATTATAAATTAGAACAAGCTAAATTTGAAATATATTATCGAACACCTTCGGAAGTCTATGCTCGTACAATCAGCTAGAAGATTTTCAATGAAAAATTAATTTCGTGACGGAATAAAAAATTTTCCAGCAGGGATCGAGGCGAGAATAATACGATCCATGAACAAGATATCAGTGCCAATTTTCCAGGCGTATTTCCTAGAGGGGTTGCGCGCTATATCAAACGGTCGGCACGCGTTGATTGCATACCTTATGACCACAAGAAAGGATACGACGTTCGCATGAATACGCGCCTATCCTTCTGGCGTGAGCTATGGTCGCAGTTGCAAATAATCAACTATGCTCGCAGAGATTTCTCAACGGGTCCTCCACCCTCTTCGACCCCTGCGCGAGCGTATAAATCGTCCTGGAACGTTGTTCGTCTCTGCCTCGCGGCATACTAAACTCCAGCATGCATAGAGCTGGTGTACGCTTTCAGGAAAACAATCAAAGATTCCGAGGAGTTAGAGACGATCTCAAACTAGCTCGTGTCTCTCGTTTGTTAGCTATTAGTTTATTGGCCGAAACTTTAAATGAAATTATAAAGGATATTTTTGGAAGATCTTCAGTTACTTATTTTTATATCAAAGAAATTATTAATGTGTTTTGTCGAAAAATATATTGGCTTTTATAGAGATTTATTTTTAATGGACATCAGTTTTCGGATCTGACAGTATTAGTAATGTTATATTCGTAATTAAGTTAACAACGATCAAATGTCTTTGGATTTACCGGCGCGGGAAACGTAGCATCGATAATTGCAAACGTATCAGTGGGTTCGATAGTGTTGGGAACGTTAGGTCCATAATCATCGAACGTTTGCGGATTTACCAACGCTCCAAGCACCGTCATTCGTGATCATCAACGTATAACCGGATTTGCTGATGCCCAGAGTGCAACGTGTACAATTATGAGCCCCCTTCGACAAAGCGTTCAGGGTTAAATTTGAGATATACGTGGATTGTTCAAAACACTCCTGGATATGTTCCTTACATTATCCTTCCAGATTATCTTCATAAAATGCAGCAATGGTATCTGTAATTAAATTCTGAGTCTATCCAATTTTTTAATTTTTTTTTTCAAAATTTATTTGCCTCCTTAAGGCGATCAAATTATCGAAAAAGTAATATTTCGACTTTATACTCTGTGATTTATAAGTATCTTTTACCGCTAAGTACTCATAAACAGGCAACATCCAGGTATTCAGAAATAGAAACAGAATGGTGTACCGTAGCACTTTTATTACATCATTTAATTTGAAAAATGACCTATCTCTTCTTTTCTGCTATATACGAGAAACGACTTGAAACTACTTAATTGCGATAATGGTCTCCCGTTGAGTCGTTTTTACGTTTTGCATTTTACCGTTAATGGCCATAGTTAATCACACAGATCTCTAGATAATTGTATTTCGTTTCTCATTTAATATTCCATGTCGCGTTTCATATGTGTACATACTCACGCACTGTGTAGTTATTTAACTTGCTAATAATAGACAATAATAACTTCATAATAACTCTATTTATCTGAAAGTGAATTAGTTCATTAGTAAGGCAGAAGTACTACCTAACAAGTGCAGAATAAAACTTGAAAGTGATGAGAGAGAGAGACAACTAGACACTCGGTCATTACCGATCTTCTAAAGGGTTAAAAATATTCCGAATGTGAAAAAAGGCAAAGTGGAACGCGGTATAGCGGTTCGATTCTTATTCACAACATGCGATGAGGCTCGAGCAAGGATAATGCAAATACTTGTCGAGCGTAAAAAGCTGTAACTAATTGTACCGTTCGGTAGAAGTAAAACAGGACCGAACGAGGGTGAAAGCAAGAAGGAAAGAGGGCAAGAACGAAACCGTTCGTAAGAATTAGACAGGCATTTTGCATGGTATCGTGACCGGGGCAATTTGCATCGTAATGTAAGTCAATTACAGCGCGTTCCATAAATCACGAACGCGTACCACGGCATCCTCGTCCCCCTTCTCTCGTCTACACGCTTCCTTACTTCGAGGATTACCAGAAATTCGCGGAGAGCAGCGCAACTTCCGCTCCAAGTGGCGCGTACAACGGCGCCGCGACGCGTTCCAACCCTACCGCCTCCACCCTCGGCGTACCCAAATTTATTTCCATAAACGCCGTAAGTCGTGCGAGTCGCATTGATAACGGCCCCTGTCGCGTTGAAAGGAGACTTCTTGACTCCGGCAACTTCCTGTTGCCGACCAGAGTCCATGGATAAAGGAAGACAAAGTTTCCCGACCCACCCAGCCTTTGAGAAACTTTCGACCGACATTTTTTATTTGTCTAGTACTACGACCGTTTCTCTTGCTCCCTTTCTTTTCTACTTTGACACAGAGAATCTATTTACTGAACGGAGAGGACAATGTGTTCATTGTGATGGTTGTTCAGTTCTGATGGGTCGAAAATGTTACGACAAGTCTAAGAAAAGAAAATTATTTTTTACTTGATGTATCAAATATTCATGACCAGCGCCTATAAAATCCTTTCATTTATTGATTAATTCATTTCAGTGTTTTTGATAAAACAGCTCGAACTTCGATTCGTTCGAGCTAAAAAAAACACATTTACAAACATTGGATTTTGTTCTAAATCGTCCTCTAGCACGGTGTGATGTACTATCTCCCTAATACGTGTCGTCGTTGCTTGAAACCAGCGGTAAATTCAGAAAATAAATCGACTTTTTTACCGTCCAGGCGAGCAAGGAGAGCGCTTAAGCAGATTACTCGTCCCGAAGTAATCCAAATAAAAGGAAGTAACCGGCCGAGGCAAATAGCGGCCACGATTAAACGTTCCAAGACGTTACATCGCTTCTTTCTGAGTTTCAACGTTGATGAAATTAACCTTGCCCTGTGCCCGGGCGCGAAACTTTTTCTTTCGATTCATTAAAACTTCAAGACTAGCCGCGTTGTATGATAACACTTGGAAACGCCGTTTCAAAGGATCTTCTTTCGTGAAAGAAGGGTATAGAGTACAGAACGGAAAGTCGTGTTTGTTCCTTCTTCGCTTTTTCTTTCCACCCTTTCCCGGGCTAAGTCGTGAAGTAGAACGCCATAGCCTGGTTACAGTTCTATCTTTCGGCTAGTTTTTTCAAGACGATTAAAATGAGGAAAAGAAACACAGTGATTTATGTAAGTTGAAATGGATTGAAAACGTGCCTCGTCGGAAGAAAGTCTAAGATTTTAGTACACAAAAGTTATGCCTTTATTCTGGACGCAACAAAGAATCATAGCGTACTAACACGGAGGCTCGGAAGAAACAATGAGAAAGAAAGGTCTGGTTTTTTTTTCAGTTTTGTAGCCACGGTTCGTCCATTAAAAATTAATAAATTTCGCCAACTCGGCGAAGCATTAGTTCGTTCCGACTATAATTAACAGGACAAATGAAAAGCTCTTTGGAAGTGACGTATTTTTATTTTTGTTTCGTAATTTAGACTGAGCGCAAGGGGACGCTCAATTTTTAGTACCTTCCACCGTGAATAATTAACGTTACCGTTCGACGAGCAGTGAAAATTCATTTCCTCGTCTCTTCGAGAAGTTCATAGTTACTGAAATTAGTATAGAGTTGCTCGTATGAAATAAACAGCACATGCAACGTTTAGAGCATCGAAATTATTAAACAACTAAACAATTAATTATAATCTTTCATCCTACCTTAAAATTATTCTCCTTTGTGCACTTCATGGATCGGCATGAAAATCTGCAACAAAAATAAATCTAATATTAATACCAGTTCATATATTCTATTCTGTTGTATTATAGAAGAGCTATCATGAATAGCTGATATAACTGTTTACTGGTTAACCACACCATAAGGTGTTATGAGCTGTTTTCTATGTGATACGAAAAGCATGGGTAACACGTTTTGTTCGTAGGTTAGAGATTGCCTTGGGGTTTGTAACATAATAGGGTACCGTACTGATACTTGACCCTTAGAAGGACTCAACGGGGGGTTCTCTTCAACCCTACTCAAGCTTTTGTATAGGGTGTTTCCACATAAGTGCCATTTGTGGTTTTTGAGCCTGCCATTGGCCGGGAACTTTACGGATTTTGCTAAGAGTTCTGGTTATAAGCCGAATTTTTTTTCCAAGTACACTTCAGACTATGTATTATGAATATTGCAGCTGGTTTCAACTGGGTTTTCAAGTAAACTATTCGGATAAGTATTAAAATTTCATTTATAGATGCATCATTGTATCCATACAGAGAGGGTACACAAAATGTTAGAGTTTAAATCATTCAACCCTATTCTCTTGTTTCCCCAAAATAACACATCCTGTTCCAGTTTCGCGATCATATATAACTGCTCGAGCTCAATATTTAACTACATTCTCTTACATTACCTTCCACATCAATTATAATATACAATTCTGAAATGCACCACCTTGGAACGTGTCATAAAACAGTATAAAATATGTTCCTGAAACATTTATAAGACCACGACGAATTTCCATTCTGATATTTCCTTTAATATTTCCTGAAAATATCCTTTTTGAAAACTACATTATTTAAAGATGGTGAACATGAATTAAAAAAATAATAAAATAAAATAAAATGACAGTACAAGAATAATCGTAGATTATTTATAAAATAGCAATATAATTGAATAAGGAAACAACATTATTTATGAAATCTTCATTCCACTCCAATTTTTCTATAACAACCCTGTTATTCGGTATCTTTTTAAGAATTCAACCAAGACAAAAAGGAAGAGCGCAGATCTCCGAATAAACGAAATAAAATTGGGAAAGAATTTTCTCGTTACCCTTAATAGTCATCTAGGATACAATTGGTAGCAGGGCACGCGAGCTCAGTTTTTTAATCAAACCTAATCAACGAACCCTTTAAAGGTACCTCGAACCAGCCGGCTACGGCAAATAGATAAACTTGGTGCGAGTTCCCGACAAAAGTGGCCGATGATTCGCCGGAGGAAACTGTTCAAATACGAAAGTCGTTTGGTCGTGTAGCACGTGCGAAATGAAAGCTACGGATTGGAAGGCAGAGCGGAAAAACTTTTTCAAACTTCTTCCGGACGTGGCCTGGTCGAAGGAAGAGATCCTTGCAAGTCACCTCCGCAGTCTTGTTGTCCAGCATCCCGTGGGTCTTTTTACCTAGCGATAACTTGTTTCTCTCGTACACTTCATTAGCTACTCCTCTGCGGGGACAGTGGACTTCTTTTTGGAGCTTGAGATTACTTGCTCTTGAAAACCAATTTTCCACTGGCACAGACAAGACAATATGGGAGCGAGGAAAAAAGAAACACGTGTCCTGTCAAGACATCCTGCTTATAATCTTATTATTATTGAAATAGACAAAATATTCGTCAAATAGTAAACCTACCGGATCTGATTATTTTCAAATAAAAATCCTAGCTATACCAATATTCATGGCACAAAACGTGTGAATAAAAAATGAATTTTCAGTGGAATATTCGAGGGAATAAATTCAGGGAATATGATTTCGCAGCAGTTTTCGCGACCACTTGATCGCTGTTAATTATACATTCAATTCTAGCCAATTTATGCAAAGTTATCACCAAAATTGACCGCAGTTACCGTCGAAATTTTCCGCGATCGATGGGAAAGATAAAAGTTACCATGGAACGTTCATTTTACTTTCAAGACGAAAGATTTCCATCTGACGAGGACGTAATTTGCTCGTACTTAATTGCTCGCGCTATTTCGTCCATCAGGGTGCAGCCAATTACGTAAATGCGAAACAATTACTTCAACGAGATACGGTGATGAGATGATGTGCCGAAACGACGGACACTGTCTCGTTCGTCTGTCGTAACGTCTAAACAATGCAGGGGTAGATTTGCGCGGGTTTACAAGTTATTCCATGGGTAAAAAAGAAAGTGCATCGTCGGTTTTCTTGGTGCGCTAAGTGCACTCGTACACGCGATCCTTGCAACAATGTTACACGGAGGTGTAAACGGTGCGCGCAACCGACTTGTCGCCGGCTGTAATTTCTTTTAACGGCGCGTAAAAGGGTTGTTGAAAATGCACGTAACGGCGAGCGAACGAACTTCGCGATTACAAATGGTGTACCAACACATTTCAACTCGTCCTCATTCGAGCACGCTAAACTCTATTTCTGCGACGAGATTCTTCGTGCAAAATCAGTTACACGCGATGCAAATGTTTTTTCGATGCATCATTGAATTATGCATTTGTTTTTTAATAAAACATTAAGGGGTTCTTCGAATTTATGATAATTTAATTTGATGCAAATTAAAAATTTCATCTGGTTATCGAGTGTAAGGATGAAAATGAAACTATAAATATTCGTTGCTGACTTTGATACATTTTCCCCGTTTGGAAACAAGTTCCTTTATCTTGCTTTTTTATGAAGTTTCCAACTTCCAGACTCCTGCGAGCTGCAACATTGAATGAGCTGCTGCCGAGATTAAACTCGTATAGCAGTGGAAGACGGATTTGTTCGCTAAAGATACTCCCTATTCCAGGAAAGCAGTAAAACGAGTGAATTATATCTGATGAAAATAGCAGACATTGACATGGAAGTTTATTACGTTTTATAGAGAAATTTCGTACGAGTTAACCGTACGAAATAGAGCCAACTTATTGCATCGTTTTTCGTTCAATCTATCTACAGTGGATGATATGAATAGCGTTGTAAAAAGGACATGTATTTTTTTATGTTACCCCCATTCATTATAAAAATGTTATAAAAATATATTTTTCACCTGGATCTTTTTCATTTTTTCCCTCAATCAAATTGTATCTACTAATGATACAACTAGCTTTCATTTCAATAAATGAAAAATATAATAATAAATATGATGACCTAAAATAACTCTCGGACGGTGGAATCAAAACTTTTCATTCATCGTATGATATGGAGTTTGAATTTAATTAAAAAACATAATCAAGACAAATATAATATCAAAAGGGATAAAAGAGCATTCAGTAATCGACAATGGCCTTTTTATATTATTTCTGCCCTTTTTATATTAATATTAATACCTCGGCCGCAGTTTTCTCACAATAACCCGTGAAAAGACTATGAAAATAACATTTCGTATTTACAATGCAGCGGTCCTCTGAATTATTTTTCCTTCGGTGCAGATAACAATGGAGAGCTAAAACTATTAGGAAAAGTCAAAATTCATTAACGTCGTTTGTTTTTTTTTAAATTAAATTTTAACAATGTACGAATATACAAAGATCGAAGGAACAAAAGGCGATCGTTTTCATTCAGTGCTGTTTGACGTGCGTGCGTTTTTAATTGTTCCGCTCGTGTCGCACGCAGCCTCACGCTATTAACTGTCTTCTCTTGAAAACGAGCGTGCACATCTCGAAATTTGATTCGTTGCGCCCATTAAATTCCTAACGATTGTCCCTAGCGAATGGACGGGATTTATGACGCACGAAGCGGGACCACGCTAGCAAACCGGAGTAAAATCGAGTCCGTTCGTAATAATTCTATCCCAAAAGTCCCACCCGCAACGCGGAACAATGTTAACTATCATGAATTTTGATCTGTAAGTGGAAACTGCACTTGATTCGACGATTGCTCCTCGAAACATTAAATGGACTTTGGTTTACGACATTTACGGCTCTGCTTCCATATTTTTGCGGGCCACAGACTCTGGATATAATAGATACCGAGAATATTAAATTCCGTAAAATTTTCCTCCGTTGATAACGAAATAGGTAACTAAAATTGAATTTAAAAACTAGATCATTAATTGAGTTAGCAAAAACCTGATACTACCATTCAAGCGTTAACGGACGATGAATTTTTAGGAAAACGTTCAAGGGAATAAGTTCAGCAAATATGATTTCGCGCCACCATTCCTGACAATTCAATCGCTGTTAATTATACATTCGGCTCCGGGCAATGTATGCAAAGTTATCACCGATTCGTACGCACGTTACAAACTCGATTTCGCGATGCCCGCGAGCGCACATAAGCGTTTAGATGGATTATTTTCATCGAAAGAGCTTATTTACTTTGCTCGTCAACGTGCATTCATTCGACGAGAGTATATACATATATTATCAATAATTAAATAGGGTTGTAAAAAGAATCAAAAAACACAGCGATTATCGATTGCTAGAGATATTTTGTAAATGTGTTTTGTAAATCGAATTCAATTTTATGAATCAAAATTTATGCAGCTTATAAAAATTTGTTTACCGCTACAATGTGCTGATGCCGAGGTTGGAAGGGTTAAACTTTTTGATTTAATTAAAGCGTAACAAACAGACATTATTACGATGTCATGATATTATACATTAATTAAACGGTTCTGCGATCACATTTTTCGGCAGATTCGTTCTCTCGAAAGTGTTCTCCCTCATCTCGTTACAAAATTCCAATTACCGGCTCGTGAACTCACCAGCAAAGGCTGCGTAAAAAAGAAGAGTATGGAACGAAAACAAAGGAGCACGTGGGGACAGCCAGATTGCTGGTTCAAGAGATTAACTCGGGAAATAAAAGGGACTAAAAAGGCTTTCGATGTAAACGCTCTCCTCTGTTTCCTCCTTTTTATTCACCCTTTGTTCCACGTCCTTTTTCCTACGTTAATCAACATCGACTGACTGTATCGTGGTAGATAATTTTGATTGATTTCGACCCACCGACGCGCGACGCTCCAACTTTCCAAAGTCACTCGTTTAAGCGATAACAGTCTTACTTGACGAAGTTTGCCCCCGACGATCAAAGGGGAATCGA